TTACTATAGGGAGGAAAGCAATTTGAAAGATATTGGATTGCTCTTTGAAAGCAATATAGTCCAGAAGAAAATGACACAAGAGTTTTCAGTTGCTAAAATAAAAGAATTGTCAATCCAGATGCCTATAGTAAGTAAAAATATATTCCATAATTGAATAAATAAGATTTTCTCAGATGAAGTAAAACTAACATAATTTTTCATTAGCAGACCTATTCTAAAAGAATGTCTAAAGGAAAATCTCTAAAAAGAAACTAGGAAAGGAAAAAAACTTGAAACTTAAAAAAAAGGAAAAAAGAATGTGGTAAGCAAAAATATGAATTAAATACAATAGATATTCCTTCTCCACTTGCATTTTCTAAGTTATGTTTAAAGGTTGAGGTAAAAATTATAACACTATCTGATGTCATTCTAAATGTAGGTGGAGGAAATATTAAGACAAATATAAACAAGAAAGGGTAAATGAATGTTAAGGAAAGTAAGCTTTCTATATTTCATTTGAACTTGTCAAATTACACCAGTAGCCTATGATAAGATTTGTATATAAAGTGAATACTTGCAGCAACTATGAAAACAAGCTATACAAATATGTAAACTCAAAAAACTACAGATAAATCAAAATGGCATCCTAAAAACTGTTCAAATAACCAAAAGAAAATCAAGAACAAAAAATAAATAAAATAGAAACTTTAATCCTAATATATCAATAAATGCATTGAAAGTAAATGGTCAAAATGCATTAATAAAAAGACAGATTTAAAAAGTATATTAAAAATTGACCTAAGTATATGATGCCTACATTAAACTCACTTTAAATATAAACATAGAGGCAGAATGAAAGTAAATTGAATAAAAAAAAATCATGAAAATCTTAATCAAAAGAAAGCAAAAGGTAAATATTTCTGTAATGGTGTCATAAAGGGCACCGCAGACTTCCTCACCAATGAAAAAATCGCTAACTGATGAAAATTTCAAAAAAAAAAAAACTCTCTCTGAAAAGTACCTTAAAAGCCCACGACAAATGAAGAAACAACTGTTCATTGATGACATCAGCAAGATGGCAGAATAGAAGATTCTAGCCATCATACCCCCACAGAAATGGCAAAAAAAAAAAAAAAAAAGAACTATTCATGGAGAGAGTTCCAAGAACAGATGCAAAACTTCAAGAAACATAAAAGAAGGAAGAACATAATCTCTTTACCCATGTCATCTCTCCCCTAAGGCAGTATAGCTCATTGCCAAGAGAGATAAACTCAATCTATAATTTCTTGTATAGCATGAGCTATAGGGCTTCACCAGCCTCATGAAACATTGCCTAAGAAGGCACTTGCGTTTTGCCCCCAACCAAATCACTAAAGAGATTTGCAAGGCTATGTGATCTGAGGAGAACTAAGAACAGAGAAAAAGGATGGGGTCTCATAACAATGACAACATGGATCTGAAAAATTGAAAACAAACTATCCAACAGGTGTTTCCAAGAACTTCATGGAATACCTCACCTGCAGTCCCCCCATAACTAGCTGACATGTACCTTCAGCACTTCGCATATGCCCTTGAGACAGCATATGTGAGCTTCCAACATATGATGTGTATTAGTTTCCACAGTGTGTGCAATCTTTGCAGAAGTGGAGCACAGATGCCCACAGAAAGCACATTGATATCAGCAGTCAGTTCATCTCTGAAAGACTGGTAGAAAGCACACAGCCTTGAACATTTCAGGGGACTACCTTGGGAAAAAGAAATGTGAGGCCCTCAGCACATATCTTGATCTTGTGGGACTGAGAGAAGACACACTATCTTAAAACTTCTCTCCATAAGAGAATAAAAAAATTGGGGGCAGGCACATCCATAGAAAATGTGACAAAAAGAAATCATTTTCCTAAAAATAAAACATTTAAAAATAATTCACTTGAGTCATTGAATTTATGCCTTAAAGATTTTAGCAGGTAATCTGCAAAAGAATCTTGTTATTGCAACATGTAAAGAGGATTATTACTTCCCAAGAAATGCTTAAAATATTTTAGCTCCACTAAGTACAGTTTATATTTGACATCTCCATCACTCTTAATTGAAAACTCCAGTTTATTAGAATGGTTTTAATATGCTAAAATCCCAAACATGGTTAGTCCTGGTAAATTTATTTCTTGAGAATATAAGATTAAAGAGTTATTCCCCTTTTTTCCACTCAAATATCAATTCATGTGATTTTGGTTGTAATGGTTTGAAGTAATAAGCATTTCATTGACTTTGTTGTTCATTTATTCCAATTTCTAAGATTCTAAACACTTAAGAATATATCACATTGACCTGCTCAGTTGGAAATGATCATTTGGAAATGTTATAAATAAGATGAGCCTGTGTCAAAGTAGTAAATAAGAAATTAATAGTTGAGTTTTGACTAAAGAAACTACTTCAGTTCCATTGGGAATAATTCATCTTTGGATGATTCTTAGAATATTTGGATCTGTATGCCTTATGCAGCTTAATGAACTTCCTAGCCTGAATTAATTATAATAGTAACTCATATGTATCTATTAAAACTTGATATGCCATCCACTCAAAATTATTCCAGTCAGGTTCCAATGAGACAAGTTTAAATACAAAAACACACTTGGCAAAAGCAAGAGAGAATAAACAAGATCAGCTCACAAGGCAGTTCCATATCCAACTGATGAATATGCAAGTAGGTAGTGTTGAAATTTCTTCATTTATATTTCTATAAATAATATGATGCAATGGTCCACATAGAGAAACCTGAAGTCATAGTCATTCCCAGTTAGAAATCTATAAAGTAATTTTTTGTTTATTCATGGTGATTTTTTAAAAAATTAAACATATAAAATTTGTTAATGATAATATTCAGAATTAAACAATTCAAGAAACTGAAGTCCATTGATATTACTTTAAGTGTCAAAATCATGTGGCTGATAAGTTAAGCACTCTGATTCTTACTTTTCTACCTTTTTTGTTATTCTATTTACAAGTATTTTATTTTTGCATTGCTGTAAAAGACTTTCAAATATAGCCCATTTGCTTCAGTAGTTGTCATTAATGTTAGGTGTATATTGCCTGGTAATGGAAGAATAATGGAAAATTATTTTTCAGGAGTATACTTACTTCTTTCAAAAAGTTGTGTATATCATTCATTACAAAAATTCAAGGCTTATTCATTAAATTAGATTAACTTGAAATATGATTAATTAGCATTAAAAAGTAAATTATAGGTGTCTCTTGGGCATATCGTGGGAGACTGTGGGCCCGAGGCAGATAACAGCTGGCCTTGCTGTGTTCTTAGATACTTGTGAGAGCCCACGAACTCAGGACTGACAACAATTCTGAATCTGTATTGGCTTAAGATTTGCTCCTTCCACCTCATGTCTCCTTGAGACCCCATCCAACCCAGCCTACAAAAAACCTGTAGCAAGACCATAGCCAGGAAGCTAGCTCCACCCTGTTCATTACCTGGGATGTGGATTTGATAGCAAATAACAACCATCAGCTCATAAGGAATGTGCCCAGCCTATACATCCCAGGAGAGATTTTCAGTGGTGGGCTACAAGCCTCGCCCCAAGCAACATTTCTTAAAAAGATCTCAGGTATCTGCAGGCCAAAGGTGGGCAGCGGCTCCCCTGGCAGTGATCTGAGACTTTTATAGGAAGTCACAAATTTAGCACTGGGATGAAACCTGAATATTCATTGGCCAGGTAAGATCTGCTGTTTACTCTAGTGACTCGCTGGGTCCCGCTCCACCCAACTCACTTACCACCCAAAGGCCTTTTCAGTTGTAGAATCTTATGGGCAAATTGAAGGCATCCTCAGGCCTTGAGGTGCCCTGGTTCTTTTGCTAGGTCACTCCAGGTCCAGTTACAACCATGGCTCACAGTGTGGTCTCTCACAATTACCTCCAGATCCAGCAGAGGCAGCAACCATCAGCAGATTGCCTTTAGGTCCTATAGGTAGCCCCAAGCAATCAAAGGAAAAGGCTGACCAAAGCCATTACGGGAACCTCTACCAACTAGCCACAGAACCAACACCCCGAGAAGCTGGTCTTAGATCATACAGAACACCACCTGCTAGCCCCATAAGCAGCACACACAAAGGGTGGTTTCAATAGGTACATGAAGCTCCTGGGGCAAATCTCACTGTGAAGGTCAAACCCCACACAGCTGCTCATATCTTGTGGTTATGGCCAATACTCACAGACAGTCAGCCTAAGAGTCAATAACATCCACTGACATGCTAACGGCAATCAGGGCTTAGCTGCAGCAGAACACACACAACACACATAAGAAAAATGCCAAGAGACCCCAGCACAAGTGATCAGTGAGACCTACTAGATAAGGTCACCTGACCAAGGGTGGGAGATATAACAAATCTTCCTAATACATAGAAATAAACATAAAGAAGCACCTAAAATGGAAAAAAAAAAAAAGAAAGAAAAGAAAGAATCCACAAATGAAACAACAGGAGAAAACTCTATAAAAAAAAAGTACACAAAATAGAAGCAAGCAACTTACTAGAGACAGAGTTAAAAACATTGGTTATAAGTATGCTTAATGACTTTAGAGGGAGAATGGATGATCTCAGTGAGGACTTCAACAGAGAGATGGTAAGTATAAAAAAGGACATAGAAACCATAAAGAAAAACCAGTCAGAAATGAAGAATACAATAACTGAAATGAAGAATATAGTACAAGAAACCAACAACAAATTAGATGAAGCAGATGATAGAATCAGCAAGTTGGAGGACAAGGTAGCAGAAAACCCCCAATTGAAATAGCAACAAGATAAAACAATGAAAAATATGAGCAAAGTTTAAGAGACCTCTGGGACAACATCAAACATACCAACACTCACAGCACAGAGGTACAAGAAGGAGAAGAGAAAGAACAAGGGATTGAGAACTTACTGAAGTAATAATGAAAGAAAATTTCCCTCACCTTGCAAAAGAAAGAGACATACAAGTCTAGGAAATGCATAGAGTCGCAAGCAAGAACAAATTTGTGTTCGCTTTAGAAGCACAAATAATAAAATTAGAATAATACAGAGAAGATTAGCATGTCCCTTGCACAAGGAAGATACTCAAATTCATGAAACTTTCCATATTTTTTGAAAAACGCAAAAAGAGACAAAGAATAAAATTATAAGCTTAGGAAATAAGGTTAACCATATGGAGGAAAAGATCAGTAATATCAAAGACAGAAATCTAGAAAAAATTCAGAAGGAAGAAGAGAGAGAGACCAAAGAATGAAAAATAATGAAAGAAATACAAGAACTAGCTGACACTATCAGGAAAGTCAACATAAGAATAATGAGTATTACAGAGGAGAAGAAAAGGAAAAAGGATCAGAGAGCATTATCAGACAAATAGATGATGAGAATTTCCCAAATTTAAGGAATGATCAGAAGATTGAATTCCAAGAAGATAACAGAATACTCATCACCTCAACCTAAAAAGATCTTCTCCAAGAAAAATTATATAAAAATGATTAAAAAATAATGACAAAGAAAGAATTCTCAAGGCAGCCAGGGAAAAGAAGACAGTAGCCTATAAAGGGAAACCCATTAGAGTATCTTCAGACTTCTCAGCAAAAACCTTACAAACAAGAAAAGAGTAGAGCCTAATATTCAAACTATGAAGTAAAAGGAATTACCAGCCAAGAATAATGTTTCCAGCAAAGTTCTCCTTTAGATATGAAGGAGAAATAAAGACCTTTACAGATATACAAAAGTTGAGGGAATTCTCCACTATGAGGCCTGTATTACAGGAAATACAGAAAGGGGTCAACTCACCTTAAAAAATGACATAAAAATATATAACTATGAGTAAGGTGACTAACAGGCATAGAGAAGCAGAGGAGTGCAACCCTTATTAAGAATAGGATATTAAAGCTTAAACAATAAGAAGAGATTTGCTATTGCCAGATAATAATGAACATTCAAATTCACAAAGAAGAATGGAGATAAGGCACACACGGAAGAAAATGGATATATATATATATAACTAACCTTTACATATTTGAATGGTAACCACATACCAAAGATTCAGAACTGAATTATAAAAGATCCTAAGTTGGAAAGGGGAATGGAGATAAAGCACACACAGAAGAAAAAGGACTACTATACATATATATTTATCCTCTACGTATTTGTAATGGTAACCACATTTCAAATATTCAGATCCAAAGTATGTAACATAAAACAAAAAAGACCAGAGGGAAAACTCCCCAAACCCAAACAAACAAACAAACAAAAAACAGACATACAAGGACAAGGAAGAAATGGAAACACTGAGCTACCAGAAAGGAAAACATAAAATGATTATAGGAAAACCTTATATTTCAATAATTACCCTAAATGTAAATGGCTGAACTCAACAATAAAAAGGCACAGAGCTGCAGATGGGGTAAAAAAAAAAAAACAACAACCAACCAAACAAACAAAAAACATAACCCAACCATATGGGCCCTCCAGGAGAAATACAACAGTTCCAGAGACAAATACAGACTCAAAGTGAAAGGGTGGAAAATGACATTTCAAGCAAATGACATTCAGAGAAAAGTGGGAGTAGTAGTTCTAATATTGGACAAAATAGACTTCGACATAAAAAAAGGTAAAGAACGATACTTCAAAATGGTAAAGGGAATCATGCACCAAGAAGACATAACACTTATTCATATCTATGCTCCCAATCAGGGAGCCCCAAAATATGTAAAGCAATTACTAACAGAGCTAAAGGGAGAAACAGACCAAAATATCAAAACACTATCATAGTAGGGGACCTAAATACCCCACTGACAAATATGGACAGATCATCCAAACAGAAAATCAATAAGAAAATAACATTCTTAAATGACACATTAGACCAACTGGACATAATAGACATTTAGAGAGCCTTCCATCTCAAAACAGCTGCTTATATATTCTTCTCTAGTGTAAATGGAACATTCTCAAGGACTGACCACATACTGTGACACAGAGATAGCCTTAACAAATATAAAAGGATTGTAATCATACCAACCATATTCTCTGTTCATAATGCTTTGAAGCTAGAGATCAACTGTAAAAAGAGGGAAGAACCACAAATACATGGAGATTAAAAAACATGCTACTGAAGAATGACTGGGTCATTCAAGAAACAAAAAAGAGAGATCAAGAGATACATAGAAAGAAATAATAATGATACTACAACATATCAAAAAACTTTTGGAACAGAGCAAAAGCAGTAATAAAAGGAAAGTTTATATTATTACATCAAAATGAGAATGAGTCCAAATAAACAATCTAATGTTTCATCTTAAAAAAAAAAAATACTATAAAAGGAAGAACAAATGAAGCCTAAAATTAGCATTAGGAAAGAAATATTCAAAATTAGAGGAGAATTAAATAAAATTGAAAACAACAAAAAAATAGAAAATATAAATTCAACAAAGAAGTAGATTTTGGGGAAGTTTTAAAATTGACAAACTCTTAGCTAGACTCAAAAAAGAGTGAAAAGACAGAAATAAACTAAATCAGAAATAAAAGAAGAGAAATTATGACAGACACTGCAGAAATACAAAGGATCATACAAGAATACTATGAAAAAGTATATTACACCATATTTAATAACATAGAAGAAAGGGACCAGTACTTAGAAATATACAACCTCCCTAGACTGAATCGAGAAGAACTGGAAAATCTAAATAGACTGATCAGCACTATGGAAATTGAAACAATCATCAAAAACCTACCAAAAAGTGAAAGTCCAGGACCAGATGACTTCACCAGTGAATTCTACCAAGCATTCGAAGATTTAATACCTATTCTCCTCAAAGTCTTCCATAAAATCAAAGAGGAAGCAATACTTCTCAACTCATTTTACAAGACCACAATTACCTTAATGCCCAAACCTGGTAAAGATTACACAAAAAAGAAAACTACAGACCATATCTCTCTTGAATACAGATGCAAAAATCCTAAATAAGATATTTGAGAATAGTATACAACAACATATTTAAAAGATTATGTATCATGATCAAGTAGATTTCATTCCAGGATCACAAGGCTGATTTAACATACTCAAATTGATTACTGCGATACTCCACTTAAACAAAACAAAGAATAAGTATCATATGATCGTATCATTAGAATCAGAAAAAAGCCTTTAATAAGATACAGCATCCACTTATGATCAAAACACTTAACAAAATTGGTATAGAAGGAAAGTACTTTAACATGAGAAAGGCTACATACAAAAAACCCTCAGCCAACATTATACTTAATGGTGAAAAACTAAAAAAACATTTCCCGTAAGATTAGGAACAAGACAAGTCAGTCCACTATCACCCCTGTTATTCATTAAAACATTGGAGAACCTAGCAAGTGCAATCAGGAAAGAAAAAGAAATAAAAGACATCCAAATAGTGAATTAAGAAGTCAAACTGTCACTATTTGCAGATAACATGATTCTCTATATAGAAAACACTAAAGACTCCACAAGAACACTACTAGAAATGATAAGCAAACATCTTAAAGTTTCAGGAAAATCAATTTTCAAATCTCCAAGCTTCTTATACTCTAATCATGAATTGTTAGAAAAAGAAAGGTAAAAAACAATTCCTTTTACAACTGCATAAAAAATAATAAAATACCTAGGAATAAAACTAATGAGACATATGAAGGATTTATATAATAAAAAACCATAAGACCCTATTAAAGAAATTGAAGAGGATACAAAAAATGGAAAGATATACCATGTTCTTGGATCAGAAGAAACAATATAGTTAAAATGATCTTATTATCTAAAGCATTTTACAGATTTAATGCAATCTCCACCAAAGCCTCATTGTAAAGAAATAGAACAAAAAATCATCAGATTTGTATGGAAGCACAAAAGACCCTGAATTGTCAAAGCCATCCTGAGAAGAAAGAATGAGGCTGGAGGCATTACTCTGCCCGACTTCAAATTACACTACAAAGCGACAGTAATTAAAACGGCATTGTATTGGCAGCCAAACAGACACAGAGAACAATGGAAAAGAATTAAGAGTCCAAAAGTAAACTCATGTTTACAGGGGCAAATGATTTTCAACAAAGGAGCCAAAAACGTACAGTGGAGAAAGGAAAGCTTCTTCAATAATCGGTGCTGGGAAAACTGGAAAGCCACCTGCAATAGAATGAAACTAGACTGATGTCTGTCTCCATATACACACGAAAAAGTCAAAATAGATTAAGGACCTGAATATAAGACCTGAAACAATAAATTGCATAGAAGAAAATATAGGAACTAAACTCAAGGACTTTGGACTTAAAGATTTTAAAAATTTGACCTCAAAGGCAAGGGAAGTAAAAGCAAAAATAAGTGAATGGGAGTACATTAAATTAAAAAGTTTCCACACAGCAAAACAAACTTTCGACAAGACAAAGAAACAACCATTCAGATGAGAAAATATATTTGAAAGCACTGCCCCGATAAGGGCCTAATATCCAAAATATACAAAGAACTCATACAACTCAATAACAACAAAAAATGATCCAATTAAAAAATGGGCAGAGGACCTAAATAGACACTTCTCCCAAGAAGACACATAAATGGTCAATGAATATAAGCAAAGATGCTCAACAGCCAGTTCTCCCAAGAAAACATACAAATGGCTAACAAATAACAAGCAAAGATACGAACTGTTAGGGAGATGCAAATCAAAACCACATTAAGATACCACCTCACACATTTTAGAATAGCTGTTATCAACAATACAAGTAATAACAAATGCTGGAGTGGACATGGAGAAAAAGCAGCCCTCATACACTGCTGGTGGGAGTGCAAGATGGTACAGCCACTATTGAAAACAGTATGGAAGTTCTTCAAAAAACTAAGAATTGATCTACTATATGATCCAGCAATCCCTCCACTGGATATTTTCCCCAAAGACTTGAAAACACATATCCAAAAACATATTTGCACACCAATGTTCATAGCAGCATCATTCATGGTGGCTAGGACATGGAAGTAACGGAAGTGTCTTACGATTGACAATTAGATAAAGAAGCTGTGGTACATATATAAATGGAATATTACTCAGCCATAAGAAGAGATGAAATCGTGCCATTTGCAACATGTACAGATTT